CGTGGGCTACAACCCCACTTGTAGCCCACGAAAGCTTATGCTCTAATAAATTTGTTAGTCTCTAAGGTGCCACAAGTACTCCTGTTCTTTTTCCAGAAATTGGAGCCATTAAGCAGTAGTGAGTTCACTAATCTCAAAGGTCCCCATCTGTAATGTAATTCCTACTGTGTTGGAGGGGCCTGGTTATTACACAGTACTCCTTGGAACAGCTAAAATGTTGTTTTTCTTCTATACATGGGAATCTAATCATATTCCCAAACAGTGCTGCATTCCTGCAAAGTCCAAGGTTGTAGCATATTCTAGACAATATAGACTAGACAGGACCTAGCAGAGGTCATATTGGAAATGCTCTTCTTGAAGGATACCTTTTTCTTTCTTTGGTAAAGTTTGCTTGCTGTTGATGTCTTACTTTTTAATATGGATTTAGAGAGCTTTGGGGGATTTTGTAGGCAAAAAAATTCTGCCCAAAACTATTGTCAACACCAGGTTGGTTTTTTTGGTATGCTAGCTGCCCAGTGTTTCTGTCTTAAACTCTGGACTCTTGTTGAAGAATGTGCTGTATTTTAAACAAACAAAAATACCCGGCACCCTGTTGTTCGTTTGCAAGTGGCTAGTGTGGGTTCATTTGTCAGAGGCTAGCCTGTAATCACATCCCTTATGCATTTTTATTTTTCTCATAGATGTGTCCATATACCATATTGACTAGGTGCCATCCTACTACATAACTTTGGTTCTGCACGTTGCAGTATTTGCAGGGCCAGGTCTACTCTGAGTGCTTAATTACTATTCTCCACCCTCTTGTTCCTTACAGGTAACGGCAAACTTGCCAGCATGCCAGTTGGTGGAGCTGTAGCAGTCTCAGCTGGACCAGGTTCTGCTGCACCTGCTGTTGGTGAGTATACTTTAAAATCTTAGTGCCTTAATTCCCATCATGTAAATTTAGGAAGCTTTTCCTTCTTTTATTGTAGTTTGGCTTCTTGTCCTGGGATTGAAATATTAACTGACATAGTTTAGTGCTGAGGACAATCTCTGCACTGTACCTGGGAATGAACTGTTAAAGTGGTGTACATAGAAGGCGGTTAGTTAAAACCAGCCAACCAGTAAGAGTTATACACAGTTGCTTGTTCCTCACCTTCATTAATTTGTTCTGGTTTAAGTTTGTAGAGCCAAAATGGACCCTCAGGTATGTGTATGCCACTCCTGTGGATGTAATTGAGAGTTGTGCATGTCTCTGAAGGCAAAATTTGGCACTTTTTCTTTTTAACCTGTACGTTTAAAGATACTGAATCCGTTAGCACCGCACAGAGTAGATATGGAGACTGAAACTTAAAGGGGTGACTTGTGTCCATTTAATTGGAAGATATGCTTCCATGAAGAGAGCGTGTTTTGTGATCTCCTCACACTTGCAATGTCCAAAATGTACTGTAAATATTCCTAGATGAGTAAACACTGTTTTTAAAACTTTTCTCTCTGCAGCTGAGGAGAAGAAAGAAGAGAAGAAGGAGGAGTCTGAGGAATCTGATGATGACATGGGATTTGGCCTATTTGACTAAACTTTTGCTACAGAAGCTAATAAAACACTTTGTTTAAAATGGATGTTGAGGTGTTTTGTTATAATAACCCTAATGCCCCTGGAGTTTTTTCTCTTGTCTAACAGTGATCTGGATTTGGGCTTTGTTTAAAGGAAAAAAACATCTTATGTAGCCTCGTTGATTCTGCATGTAGGTGAAGCCAATTACATTTATGCTCCTATATCACTTAGACACCTTTGAAACCCCACCCTGAGGCACCTAAACCTGCACTTGATGCTAAATCATGTTGTGAAACCCAATGGGCAGAAAATCAGAATTAGCTTGTAAATTCTACTGCATCACTT